TTTTATAACTTGTTTATTTTAGTTTTGCAGAGGTAGGTGATACATAGAGAGTTTATGGGAAGTATTTTGTCAATTATTATTGAGATATTAGATTTTATAATACGCAAGAAACTTCCCTTCAATCAGGCGGCCAAATAAATTGCAGGTGAAACTGACTTAAATTTTATAATAAAACTAGTATGTTATTGGGTGGGTGGCTCAGTGGTAGTCTCTGCCTGCGGATCCAAGGGTCCCAGGTTCGAATCCCACCGTTGGTCGGGATTTTTTTATTTAATTTATTTATTTAAAATTAATTCTGATGCTTTGGTAGGATTCCCCACTCGACCATTCACTGTTGGGTTCTAATTAACAGTGCTGTTCCTAAATTGGCGCTGGGAAACAGTAACAAAGCCTACACAGAACACGAGGCGAGATAACCTTAAGGCGGGTATAGATCTGAGCACGTACGCATATGAGGCAAGCCGAGGCCGAACCGAATGCCTCGTGCGGCGCTTTTGTACATACGAATGGTAGATGCACGAGGCACTCTTCGCTACTCATCCAGTGAATTCGCGAGCACGGAACCGTACACCCAGAACACTAGTATGATTAAAACAAAAATGGAGGTCTGGTAGTTGAGTGCCTGTTTTATTATTTTGTCTTGTTCTCCATAGAATATCTCGCCGATTATATACATCCAGGAGAAGCAAAACCTTTTCCTGACTTCACTTTATACAAAATAAACTTTGAAAACTCACTATAATCTATTCGGTACAGATTCCCCGTCCAGACTGAGCACGTACTGCGCATTGCCTCCCTTTGATGTACCGCCAACAAACGGATTGGGGCGAGGCCGTACAGCATACCACGAGGCAATTTGCCGCGCCTCGGAAGCCCGTCCACATCTGTATGCTCATGCGTCGTCGGCTTGCCTCATACGCGTACGTGCTCAGATCTGTACTCGACTTTAGCAGTTGAAGCCGATGACACACAAAAAAAAACTAGTATGTATTCAAATTATTCATATTTTCAATAATAAATAGTAAGTTAAAACACCTGTAGGTACTGCTTTCACGAAAGAATAATATATTAAACAATCTTAATTTAATATAGTCAGTCTACAAAGTAGGAATTGGGAGTCCAAATAAGAAAGGACGCCGGGCCATTCTACAGAATAATTTATTGTAATGTTTTTTTTTTTTTTAACAAAAGTCTTTCTTAGTAGTCGCTTGAAATTATTTTCGTTCACAACTAGAGTGCTCAACGCTCATTATCACTGATAGAAACTCGTTTACAAAAAAAGTCAAAGTTATGTAGAACAATATCAAAATCATATTCGAAAACAAATTTTACTCAATTTTAACAATTCACTCGTTTATCATTGGCCATACGAATTTTGAAATCTAGCGGTACTTTTAGAATACAATGAATATCTGCTAAAACAATAATTAAGAATTAAAAAAATCGATATATTAAATATTTACTGAGAAAATTAATAATTATTAAATATTTCCCTTTACGACTAATACCTACGCCTATGGATGTTTTCAATGCAGACAGCAGGCGATGACGCGCTGTTGCCGGATTAAGCCAGCATAATCGGTTCTCTCACTCCGATTCGGAGATGGAATGATTTGGGTCTTGCCTTCACAACAAAGTACATTTTTATCAATGACTAGTTGGGGATGTGGGTATGATAGCCGACGAAATCTCGTCGAGTTCGCGCATGACGTATTGTAAAAGCCACGCCTCCCACCATAACACGTCACCTTGATGTAATATCATACCTTCTTTTTATAATATCATGGGAGTTGTCAGTGTTTAATGGTAATTTGATCTTTATCTTAATAAATATGTACAGTTTCTTGTAACTTACCCAATATGTTTCAACATGTTTAATAAAATTAAAAATTATTGTGATGTTAATTTAAACTATCCAAGCTATAGATTTAATGAAAAATTTATACAAAATTAAAATAAAAGTAGAAAATAAAATTATGATAATGTTTTTAACTAATACTTTGCTTAGTAATAAGTAAAGACCGGACAATTTAATTTATTCTTATCAGCGAAGTAACGGTAAGAGCGGACCTTCGATTTGAATAATACATTCTGAATAAAACAAGTTATTTACTGAACTGGTCGACACAGTAGATAAGATATTGGATTTTTATCGCCCGGGCGTAACATTTGGGGCGGGCTTATTATTACATTTACATTGCAATAATTATTTTATTAAATTTTAGTTCAAATTTGGTTGGATATTATTATATAATTACAAATGATATTATTATTTATTTTTTTATTGTGTTGTGGGATAATGTTGTTGGCTTTTTCTGTTAATATATTATTGACTAATAAATATATCAACGAGGATACACCATCATTAGTTTTATGTTTAGAGTGTTCCAATATACACTCTTTATCCTAAAGTAGCAAATATACAATTATATACAATATATACAATACAAATTAATATCAATCTTCTTCATTTGAAAAATATGTTTGTATGACTGCATATTTTTCTAAATTGTCTTCAGTGAAATTACTTCTTTTAGAAGTCAATAAATCTTTAAACCTAGAAAACGATCGTTCTACGTCACAACTCGTTACAGGAGCAAATGAAAAATGTGGAACAAAATCACAATATTTTAAAGCAGTTTCATAATCGTTAAAATTGTTCAGGGAGATTTGTTTCAGAGTCTGTAAATTTGGATTTCTTTTAATAACACAATCTATTTTATGGTTAAATTTATCTTGTAAGGGCCACTTTACGTTTTTTAAGTGTAACAATGTCGATTCAAATTTTTCCATAGCAACCGATAATTGTAAGTTACGGGTTTCAAGGAATTTTATAGTTTCTGGGAGACACGAAAAATAAGTCGCAAGAAAATTTAACTCCGACTGCAAAGTTGTTTTTGTTATTAAACCTTTACACTGAGTGATAGAGAGAGCGTCCTCTGATAAGTTGGAAATAAATACTTTTAGTCTGTCGAAATGCTCCGAAAAAAAGAACACAGCCTGTAACCAAGTTCCCCATCGTGTAATAACTGGTTGTGGAGGTAGGGGGATATTCGGACATATTTCTTTATATAAAGAAACTCGGGACGGTGCTTTTAACAAAATTTTTTTAAAACAGCTAATCAACGAATTAATGTCTGGAAAGCTGTCACGGATAAACTCACAAACTCGGTGTAACGCGTGAGCAAGGCAAGTTACATGCAGCATGTTTGGAAAATGTTCTTGTAATAGTTTCCCTGTTTTCAACATTACACTTGCCGCGTCTGAAATAAACAATAAAACTTTTGAAACGTCATTATCAATTACATTGTTCAATCCACGTTTCACTATTTCATAAATCATTTCAGCGTTCACAGTTTCACGAAACACACTAGAAACTAAATACTGTTGTGAAGTATTTTCAGCACTTAATAATCCTACAACAACATTAACAACACATCTACCCTTTATGTCAGTCGTTTCATCTGCACTAACCCAAATATATTTGCTGGAAATTTTCGTTTTTATTGCCGTCATTGCTTTATCGTACTGATTTTGAATATAATGTTTTCTAATTGTGGATTCATCCGGTATTTTACGTTTAGTATATTTACAAAGAAAATTTTTGAAAATTGTATTATTTAATTTTGTTAATGGAATATTTGCAGAAACAAATGCGTTGCATAAAACTTCATAAAAGATTTTGTCTGGACATCCCTCTAAAGATTGCATGTGTTTTTGTGTTTTCACATGTTGTGTCATACTTGACTTTCCATTAAAAACTAACACCTGATCACAATTGCGGCAGTATAATTTGTTGTCATTAAAACGACGAAAACAATCAAAGTCCGATAATAAATTTTCCATATTTACGTTTCCAGTTTCTATCACTTTTCCCTTTGAACTAAACAAATATACTCATTGGAAAAATCTAGTGATATTTTTACAAGACACTTTCTTCTCAAATCTCCTGTTTATCGACTCTTTGTTATCTTTTTACATTTTTTCAACCAACAGATACCTATATAGAGTGAGCAATTGAATTAATACATACATTACAGAAATTTAACAGACATTTATTTTATTGTCTCATCGTATATAAGTACCATAATATCCACAGGAAATAAAAACATAAATGTTTTGTTACAAAAAATCGGTATGTACGGTATCGATAAAAGCCAAAATATTCATAAATATAATATAAGGATTGACTTTATTTGAATAAAAATATCACCGGCAACTAACCGACAATGGATCGAGAAAGTATAAGACAACATATGATGGGCCTATTTGACATTCATTTTAGGCCCTCTCTACAGCGTCTTAGTCCAAACGCTCGTAGAGTCCTAATATTTGGCCCCGATGCAATTTCTCCAACAATGAATCGGGACCAGCTAAGGCTAGAAATTTCCAATTTTCTGGAGGAAATAACAAATTCGGGGGAGGCAGCTGGGGTCCTCGATCCTCATTTTAGGCAGGAGAGTAGTGTACCACGCCAAAATATTGAGGAATAGATATTTTGTAATTATATAAGAGATAATAATAAAAAAAATATCATACAGAATATCGTTTACATTACTACACCTTAAACTCGCTTATGAAAAGTTTAACATCTTCATCAAAAAAGTTATTTTTTTTTAAGGAAAATTTCTCAGGCCACAAATTAAAGGATCTGAGGTTACTAAAAACTTTTGTAAAATATCCTACATATCCTCGGCGTTGGTGAGAAGAAAACATTAAATTTGTTTAATGAAAATGATTCAAAAGACAAAGAATATAGGTACACGATAAAAAAAAATCTCACTTTTTTGTATTAGTTTTAATGTCTATGTATATATCAGTACACTTTTTTTATCTTGTTTTAATAAAAAAAAGAGGTTTGTCCTGATAGTATTAGAATCTGCCGCACTGTCTGCCGTCTTAAATAGCGAACCCAGAATGAGACGCCTATGTGATTAAAACCAATTATTTGAACGCGATTAAAATGTCCGGTCTTTAGTAATAAGTAAAAAATACACCAAATATCTTGTAAAATTCGTTTTATTATATAAGACTATTAGCAAGTAGATAAATTTGTATGGTTCTTATTTTTTATTTCTGCCTGGTTTCTATGTAAACCCCTATTTATCAGATCTACTCAATATTTGTGTAAACACGTTCTGTAAATATGAGATACAAGAAAAATAATATAGATTCTAATTATTTATCTGTAAAGAAATTGTTATGCTTCAAATAACTAGATATTCTTATATCCTGTATTTTATAATAGAAAAGGTATGTAAAGAATTTTTGAATATTTAAGATCAATCATTTTTTAAACAGTTTTTGTCAAGATATAAGTTTGGTATTTTAGAAAACTTGGAACTTTCTGATCTTGAATATTCTATGTAGTTATTTGTATATAAATTGAACATCACATTAAATTTAAAAATGATAAAAAGAAAGTAAAGAGCATAATTATGTAATAACTGGTCAAGTGATATATTAAAAACTGGCATATGTCATTAAAATATTTAAAACAAATTATCAACCTTTAACTTAAAAAATGAGAATTTATATTTTATTCTAGAATTAATTAAAATGTAATGTTCAATCTATAAAAAATTAAGTCTTAAACTTGTATGTCATAATCTTTGACAATTCTACATTATTATAGTTACTTTTTGGCACAGACTACTCTGCTTAAACAAAAATAACTACATTCACAATACAATCAAAGTTTTATGATATACAAAATTGTTTTTTGAAATTTAATATTGAACAGGATTATGTACTAATAATAAATACATATTTGATTTATTATTTAAAATACTACACGAGTTCATATTGAACGTTCATGAAACAAAAGTCTGAAGTTTTATCATTCTCTTTTTTTTTTTTTTTTTCGTAGATCGAATGCCATTTTTTATTTGGCTCTGGTTCGGCAATCGTTTTTGTATTGTTTCTCCTAAATGAAATTTCAAACTGTCAAACAAAACTCGTGAAGAGAAAAAATTAGTAATACAAAATTGCAAAAATTCAATTATATAAAAATAAATTAGTTTAATTTAGTTTTGGACCCACTAAAGAATTTGGATATTATAAATAAAAAAAAATACTTATTACATCTACGTTTGTTTAATAAAAGTTTTGCAATTTTACATTACTTATGTTTGAAGTATGATAAAGATTCTATGTGCATTATTTAGTGTTTTGATAACTTAATTCTTAATTGATCCTAATCACAATGTTTTTTTTTGCAAGAATATAATGTATTTCTTTTAAACTATATCCAAAAATATATTTATTTACAAAAAATACTGATAAATTACAATTAATAAATTAAATTATATTAACAATTTTTATAGAGTCATGATTTATGGCAATGTTATGCAAAAATCAAAGAGGTAAAAGAGGTCACGCCTAATTATTTGTTATGTACAGTGTGATTTTTTTAAAATTTAATTACATATTATTTATGTATTTGTTTAAAGTAGGTAACCCGTTTTAAGAGAAAATTTGCCGTAAACTAAAAAACTTATTTTTAATCAATTTTATTCGATCAAAAATTATATTCCAACTCGATACACATTTTTTATGTACACAAGTGAGTCCAAAATTAAAAATAAATGGGGGTCACAATACTATGGTCCATTCTAAAAAAAAAATGGGCCCGTTTTTTAAATGGATCCATCCAGTGATTTTTTTAAATATATCATCTTAAAATTTGCTGTTGCCGAACACTGACTTGATTAAAATTTTTTCATTACACCTTGGGAAAAAATTGGGTAAGCTGGAATTAAACTTTTGAATAATTAAATTTGATTGTCTGACAAATATATTATTTTCTAACTGAAATAAAATATACTAAAATATATTTACAAAAATCACCCTGTACCTAGCAGTATATTGAATCTTTATTTTATTAATATTAAATTAAATTGTAAAACCTAAAACACTTTTTAAATTTTATTATAAAGGAATTAAAATACTAAAAACAAATTTATATTTTTGACTTACTGGCCTAAAAATAAAGTAATGTTAATAATTTTTCGTTTTGTTTATTTTTTTTTGTTTTTAATGGGTAATACATGGTATGAATTTACTTTATATTATATAGATGCTCCCAAAAACGATTAAAATTACTAATTTTTATTTGTATTTTGAAAATTTTTAACTTTTTTATCAGTTTTTTTACCTTGTCTATATTTTGATATTTCTATTGAGTAAAACAATAATTAAAACATACTTAAAAACAGTAAAAATATTACTAAAATATTCAATAAAAATCCAATATATCAAATTTCGAATGATATGGTTAAAAACGAAATTGTCTAAAAAATAAAGTTTATTTACCCACAACTGATAAATTACCATTTTTTTAATGATTGCAGAAAGCATTTAGGTTGTCCTGCAGTGCCTAAATACATATAGATTAAATAATGTATAATACAAATAGTATACTAACTTACAATCAAAATAATTTACATTTACGTAGCCTTTTAACAGTGCCTGCTGCTATGAAAAAGCTAATTACTTTCAAAAACGTTCGCTCCAAATTGTTTTTCAAAACTAGTTTATTATTTATAAAATTAAAAACTAAAATAATATAACAACTAAGATAACAACCAAATCAATACAACAAAAAAGAAATGTTTCTACTTATATTTATTATGAAAAAAAAAGTAATTTATGAAAACCATCAAGGATTTACAATCTATTATAGAGGACCAGGCAACCGGTTCATGAAGAAATGAAATTTCCTGAATTTTTGTTTTGTTGTAGTTGCTGACTTGCAGAATAATAGTGTCTATGGGTACAACTACTCCTATGAGTAGTTTTTGAAGTTACAAATTGGACATTTAAAAAGAGCTGTTCTTTTTAAAAAGCGGCGATTACAGATAGTTTTCAATAATAAAGATTTGCATATCAAAGAATATTTCCAGCAAAACCTATAATATAAATTTTTATTAGTTACAAATTACTGAAAATTAAATTTTAATTTAGCATGGGAGAATATTCTTCAAATTAATATTAATATAACGCTGAAATATACGGAGTGAGTCAAAAAGTTGGTAAACTGCTTGCTGTTTTTAAGAAACATAATTTTTTAATCGCGTGTTAATAAAGGACAATGTTAAATTATGCACAGTTTATAAACCATATACAGTATGATTCAAAAGATTATGCAACTATAAAACGGGGAAACTGGCTTTTTTCTTTTTCGCCCTATTTTTTAAATTTCAAATTCTGTTCATTAAATGAAAGTGGACGAGTAAACGACTTTAATTGTTCATATCTTTTACACCTTATTTAAATTCAAAACAAAGGTAATAACATAAAAAAATTATGGCAATTTAACCGCTAAATTGTTAAGATATTGGACAAGAAAGGAAAAAAGCCGGGTTTCCTCTCTTCTCATTACATATCTTTTTATTCAAACTGTATATGGTTTATTAACAAAATATATTTTAAAATAGTTTGAGGTCTATTATTAACACGTACCAAAAAATAGGGTCTACCAACTTTTTAACTTATCCTATATAAAATGTTCATAATTTTGATTAATTAAAACGGGACTATTTCAGCTTGATATTAATATGAAAAATAAACGAATTAAAAATTTTAATTAAATTTTCGGCAATATTTGTCTTTAAATAATCTTTGAGCAAAACATTATTCTTGGAAATATCTGTAATCAAAGCCCTTTAAAGAAGCATGAACTTTTAAAATATGATCAATTTGTATCTTCAACACCATTTATATCAAAAACTGACCTAGAAGTCGACAACATATATTCTATAATAGTGATGAATTTTGTGTTCCAATGACAAATTACAGTGGCAGTAATTTTTTTGAGTGCGTTTTGTTTATGGCAAAATTATGTAGTTTTAACATGTATAATAATTATATTTCTAAAATAAGGTAGATACCATTTTTTAAGTATGATATTATCATTTATAAAATGGGAATGAAGCACAAAATCAATACCACAATGTAAATGTATTAATAAAATGCGACTATGTTTCGGCATACAGGTATACAAATTAATCAATAATGCAATCTTAATATCCAAGTCGATGAGTCCATTTTCTCCTATAAACCGTTTATTTTTTTTTTTAATAAATAATAACCACAATTTACCGGCTATTTTAGAGCTAAACGAAATAGCGCTTTTTAAAATAGCGTCAGTCAAAATAGGGCCAAATATTTTTTATTAAAAAAACTTAACTAACGTACCTAACCCGTGGGGGAGCGATCGGTTAAATTTAAATTGTTAGGTAAATTAAGTTTTTTTTTTTAACTTTATGTATATATATTTTTTTGAAGCATCATGCATCACAATAGTGCTACTTTGAAACGCTTTATTTCGTAATAGAACCAGTTCGCACTATTTCGTTCGGGTGTCGTTTTGACTAGCGCTATTTTAATAAAAGCTATTTCTCGTTCATGCGCTATTTCGATACGCTCCATTTTAATTAGGCGCTCAAACAATAGTGCTATTTCGAGACAGATCCCAATTTACCATATGGACTTATGAATTTGGATATTAAGATTTGTTTTATTGATTAATGTCTATGCCTGAAGATTACTATCTAGGCCGAAATTACTTGCAAAATGTTATTAATAAATTTACCTTGTGGTGTTGATTTTGTGTTTATTCCCATTTCACTATTACTACATTTGGGCAAATGGATAATCTTACATTCTATAACCGTTTATGCTAATTTCAATGACATGAATGGTTTGTTTTTGTCATTGGAAGACAAATTATGTCTTACCAACATAGTGTATAACATACCAAAAATTCAGGTCATTTCACCGGAGCCCATTTCTCCATAACTCCGATCCTTTGTAATTAGATAAAAATGGTGGTTATTAAAACAAACAAGTATAAAGAAAACACTTAAAATCGACTGATTATCTTTCTCATAGTAACAGACGATCGATCAAGCAATTAAAGTTTTACTAAAACCACCAAAATATAAAACCAAACCAACACTTTACTTTTTCTTCTTTTTCTTCCTACAGTTTTTCGCATTAGAAGTAACTTTAGTCTCAGTCAATAACACGGTTGTGGTTGAAATCTTTCCAGAATCGTCACTTTCGGTGGTATCTGCTGGAGAACTACTTAACTCACCCTTTTCGTCGTCCGAACATTTATGCGTTTTGAATAAAACGGAATCGTCAGATTCAGGGATATCGGGAATAGAGAATATGTCTTTGTCAGTATCTGTATCAAACTTTTCTTCTTCGGTATCGTTTATATTAATAAAGTCTGATATGTTAGAGAGAACAGGGGTTGCTTTTTTGGGTAGTTGTATTGTGAATTCTTCGTCAACAAAATCGATTTTCGGTAAATCAAAAGTTTTGTCGTCTTCAGTGCAATCTATTAGGCATTTTTGTTTGGGTTTTGATGCTGCTATGTTACTCCAAGATTTCTTTTGTGGAGCCGGTAAAGTTATTTCAGCAGATACACTATCAATATTTTTTTCTATATAAGTATTAGTGTTTTCATTGTTTGTATTAATTATTTTGACTCCTAGTTTAGATTTAGGTTTTCTGTTACGCTTTGTAACAACTTTTTCTTCTAATATATTTTCTTCTGAAGAATTGGTTTCAGATAAATTGTCTAAATTGTTCTTTATACCTTTGTTTTTTGATTTTTTGCTTTCAGTACGTGTTGGCTCCTCACTAGCATCCTCGAAAGTATCTTTAGAGATATTTTCTAGAGAAAAGAAATTGTCGTTATCTAATGGAGGGAAATCTAAAATATGTTTGTTACTTCGTTCAAAATCTATATTAAGTTTTTCTAGAGGTACCAGAGGTGTTATTTTTTCTATTTCTGTTGTTATTCTAGGTTCTGATGATATTTTGGTAATGGGTTTTGAGTCGAATAAATCAAATATTGGTTCTATTTTAACATTAGCAACGATTTTATTTCTACTCTTTTTAGACTCTTTAGTGTTTTCTTTAGGTTTGGATTCTGTCGCAGTCATTTTTGGGATACTTTTCTCAATGTTAGCAGTAGATTTTTTTAATATTTTAACAGCAACCTCTGTTGTAGATTCCAAACTTTTAGTTAAAATATTATCCCCATACTGTACTTTATCATGATTAAGCACAATTTTAGGTGCTACAACAGGCCTGAAGAGGGTCTCGTCACAATTTTCATGAATAGCTTCCTCAAAAACTTCAATATCTGCTTCTTCGTCAGAGTGAACATTAACAACTGTTCCTAAGGGATTCACAACTTTTGCCACTGCTGGTTTCATTTGAACGATCACACAACGTCCACCTGAACAGAGAAAAAACCAATGGCAGTTTATTCACAACTCTCACTAAAAACTGTGCGAAAAGTGTGTCACACGTGCAAGCATGCTATGAAAATGAAGCGGAATCAAAAACTACACGCAAATCAGGTAAAAGTGGACAACTTCAAAATTCTACGGCTCTACGGGGTAAAATCCTCTTGACTTATTTGTCAACTTCTTCTTAAAAATCCAGATGGACAATTAAAAAAACTTCTTATGTATTATCAAAATTAATAAATAAATCAGTAAAGTATAATTTATAACCACCGTAACGTAACTTAACTTAGCCCCGTAGAAACTTAACCTAAGATATAAAAATAAAGTCTATTTATAAATGTCCGTAACGTAAGAGTTGAGCATGCGTGTTGATTTCAGAGATTTTCAAATTACTGATAACGTTATGAAATAAACAAGTGTAAACTATGTACCTAACCTCTAAATAAAACTTATAAATTATGATTTTGCTATATAGAAAGAATATATTTACTACTTTAAAACAATAATATAAAAATATAATAAAACAGAATAGTTTACCGAAGATGTTGATTGTTTTTGAGCAATATTGAGAATTTAATCTTTCCTAGCAAACTAGTTTTGTGTCTTATTTCAGTTCTAGACTTGATGTTTATAGGTATATGCAGCAACACTCATATCTTATAAATAGTTTATCCCCAATAACATAAACACAAATCATTAATGATAATGTATGTCCATCAAAAAAGAGAATGATAGTTTACAAATGGTATTTGTCTATTCATTTATAAAAAAAATAAAAAGAGAATAATTGACAGTTATCACATGCTGAACTCAGAATTATCTCATTGGCTAACCGTAAGGTCTTAAGTTAAGTTGTTAAGTTAAAAGTTGGCGAACTTTCTACGGTACGTTAAGTTCTTAAGTTACGTTACGAACATTATAAATAAGTATACGTAAATTCAATATTTCAACTTCTTACGTTAAGTTCTTAAGTTACGTTACGGCGGTTATAAATTAAGCTTAAGTTTATTCTGTGTTAAAGCGAATTTTTTTTATAAAATGGTATAACACTTAATGTGAAAATATACAAATCGCTAAAACGGTATAGATATTTTGTTTAAATAAAAGTAATGATTTTTTATATATTTTTAATCTACTTGCTACTTTGATACAGGGTGTTTCATTGAAAAAAGGCCACACGTTAACTTTAGTGGAGGCCATCGACATTTTTGACATTTGACACATGTATTCTCCATAACATAAAAGAATTAACGATATCCAGGTCCGTCTTTACAAAAAATTAATAAATTAATTCATTCTTAAAACAATATATAGTAGAATCGCAATCGATACCGAATAATAAATCAAAATTTTATGGGTGTTTTACAGCTCAGGCGGCTCAAACAAAACCTGTGATTTTAAACAGCCGGCAGTTATAAGGTGTGTTGATTTTAAGAATTTTACCTGTGCCGCCCGGTTTTGTGGAACGTAACAATGGGCTACCCTTATTTTAATCCCTTTTAAGACTCTGATGAGCGCACAATGTATACCAAGCACAATATACAACACTGCAAATACCGAAGGAAATTTAAAAACAGACACAATTCACTGGATATCGTGGCAATTGGTTTTGTCACTAAGTAGTACAAATAAAGAATTTGAATAAACATTGACAGAAGATGCAAATTTGCAAGCAAATTATTATTTACTGATTATATTTGGTCCTAACTTATATTAAAGAGACTGGATGTAACATTGCACACAGCGCATGTTGTTCATTTCAACCTTAGGTAACCCACCAATTGAAAATCATTGTTTCCAGACGCCACCCGAATTGCTCAGAAATACGAGACATTTTTTTGAATTATTTGTTGGCGTTGCATATTAGCAATTTAAAGTGTTTTAGTTATTTAATTTCGAGTTAAAAAGGCCACGATGTACCGTGAAAAATTGTAAATACTTCGACGAAGAAAAATTGCTAGACTAATTTTGTTTGCCAAAATCGAATTGCAAGCATTCATAGGCGATTTTAAATCAATTACTAGAAATGTGACCAAGTCAAGTGTGGTCAAGGTTCTTACGTCATTATAACATAATTAATCTGATTTAAAAATTGTTTGGTTTATATTGACACTAACTTGACAATGCGCATGACGTTGACAGATATCGCGAATTTTTATTTGTGTATGTGTATTGTAGTTAGGATTTGGTTTTGAATTTGTAAGGATAATACATTGCAGAAAATAAATTACAAGTAGGATATATACAATTGAATGTGGTTTTAAAGATAACGTGATCAAAAAATCTGAATCTCTGAATGTTTGATATATTTCTTGGATAAAAGCAAGTGTCCGATAGGGGTTTCAAAAATAATCGATGAATAGATTATTCGTTTTTTTATATAAAAATCGATTTATCGGTCAATCTGTTTTTCAGTTAATCGATTATTTTAGATTTTTCAAAGGTAATCGAATAATAGATTTTAAAGAACATACAAAAAGTAAATGAATTTGAAAATAATCCATTATTTTTAGAAAAATCGATTTATCGATTCATAGGTTTTTTAATTATTCGATAATTTTCGATTAATCGATTATTTTCGATTTTTCACACCGATGTATTTTAAATTTCTGGTCTCTTTATTCTAAGGGTCCCAAATACCTATTTTCTTATCATACATATTAAAAATATTGTAAATGATATTTGGTCTTAAGTACAGTCCTCTAATTACTTTTTTAGTGGTGTAGATGCATACAAGTTCAAATATTAACATATATGTAGCTTCTATAAATGTAATTACTTAAAGAATTTTAATTATTTGACAATAAAATCAATAGAAGTCCATATCCGATTCCATTTTGTACCACCAAAAGTATAAAAAAAAAAAATTAATATCTAGTTAAATCAGCGGCGCAAAAATAAAAAGCACATCATTGGATTCAGGTTTTTGTCCTCTTCTCAAAAATAAAAAATCAGACATACAGGATGTTGTTTTAACGATGAACGAATTTATTTATTTTTTGTAAAGATAGATCTGGATTTCGTTTCTTGTTTATACCACAGTATATATTCGGTAATTTATGGAGAATATGTGTCCAAATGTCAAAAAAAAATATATACGGGTGGGTGATAAGTTACAAGTCAAGAAAAAATTGGTGAAATTGATCAAACACCCTATATCTTGGTTATAAAGGGCAAAAGACCCATTGAGTATGGGTTATTTGGGATCACTTCACTTAATGTGTGTATCTTTTCCAATGAAACACCCTGTATACAGTATAATGCAAGTAAATTGGACAAATTTTGAGTAAAATCCTGAATCATTTGATTTTTATTTTTAAATGCCAATTTATCGACATACCTGCTTGAGAAAAGACTATTTTTTATCAATCAATGTTTTTTTTAATGGAAATAGGGATCCTTTGAATGATAATTTTATGGAAAAGTCAGTTGTATAAATATGAATATCCCAGACCTGGATAAAAAATTCTTATATAATCCAAAGTGTGACACCTCATACAAAAGCTAATTTTATTATAAATTCAATGTAAGACATAACATTCTAAATATCTAGATACAACAAATCAAGTTTGTATGTATGCTTTGAATTACTAATAAAATTTCCGTTCCTATGAGGTGTCACACTTTGGATTACGTAAAAATTTTTGTTCCTGCAAGAAGGATATTAGCGAGATCTGGGATAATCAAATTTACAGTGCTGAATTTCCCATAAAATTACCTTTCAAAGAAGGTATCACATGACCCATGTTTCTATTTTGATAAATCATCGATTTCATCATCATAACAACAATGGTGACTTTTTCTTAATTATGTCAAGAAATTTAACAATACAAATCGTAGTTATTCAGGATTTTACTCAAAAGTCGACTATTTTCGAAATAATGAATTTATTCCTTACATTTGCATCATTTTGTATATTTCAAAGAATGTACAGGTAAGTATACAAAAAAATGTTTCTATTCTATAAGATACAAATCAAAAGTAACATTTAAATAGCAACTGTTAAAAAATGATTCCTCGCCAATGATGACGGTATTTGGAAAAAAAATATATCGAAAAATCAAAAAGAATTTGGCACTAGACAGTTCCTCTGAGGTTTAACTTTAGATTTAGTGAATTATTTGTAAAATTTGAATTTATTTCCCAAATCAAAGACATAAGAAATTAAGAACGAGTGAATAATGGTAGATTTCTGTTGACGGATCTGATAATTACTAGTATTTTTGATTAATGACAGAAATGACATATGTCAGTTTTATTTTTTAATGAAAATATTAATAATTGTTAAAAAAAATGGTGTTTAATAAGCTATGATTATCACAAAATTTTGTTAAATAATCCTCCTTCTCCAGGTTATTCACATAAAATTAAAAATGTCTTAAAAGTAGTTATTCTATGTATAAAATGAGAAATACATTTAATTTCAACAATTATTCTGTGTTTGATCTAATATTGTATACGCCGCATTAGTGTGATGTCAGAGAGCCAAATACAAGCAAAATAATTCTGCGACTGATTGTGACATTTCCGTTTTGAGTTTATCCTATATTATTTGCAGGTCTTCAAATACATTAATTAATACATTCTTGAAAATATTAAAATTACATGTAAATTCAGTTGACAACTAACCTCTATTTTTATTTATTGTTTTACAGAATTTACTAATAATCGATTATTAAACTATTATCTACTTAATTTAGGAATATATTTTTTAAAATCACCTAACTGAAATAAAAAAAAAGTTAAACAATTAGGTACCTTTAGCCTATAAACAAATGCACTGAAAATATCATCACTAATGCGCCGTATTTTTGTGTTTATTATCTCATTCACTTATTATTTATACCAAAAACATTTTAAAATTATACAAGTATTTTCTTATTTACAGTTTTACGTTTGATTGAAGTTATTTTGAAAAAGTTTTTGATATTTTTTGATATCTAAAAAATATCTATTTGTTTTCATTTCTAAACCAATGAATTATTATTTTAGAGTATTTCAGAGTACAAAATGAGTAATCGCTTTGCAGTATCCCAGAAAACTAAAATTAATGTAGACAGGTTATTAGTTTTAAATAATGTTTAAAATTCTGAATTAAATTGAGATTACCCCAATTCTATAACATTTTTACACAATTTCTTTTTTGTAATTTCTACTATTAAACTTTTTAGGACAAGTCTGTTAAAATTCTTTCACTGTATTATTACGGCTTAAATTCATCTAAAAATCAGGCAAAATTACATTATGGTTTTACAGTTTATAAGAAATCGTCAATAAATAATGAACAGTTTATTCGATACTTTGATTAGTCAATAAATGAAGTGTAAAATATTTATTTTTTAAATAATTTTTATGTCAATAGCGTTCACATTTCATTAATTTTGTAATTTTTTTTAGTGGGTTGGTAGAAAAAATATACTGCATATACGTGGATTGTCCGTAATACGACATCATGTCCACTATTGAAGCACAAAATAATGCTTTTGTTTATTTTTATCATGTATTTTATTTTTTCTTCTCAAATAACAAAACATGCAACGTAAACAATTACAGGTGATATTTATTTTCTTTTAAAATTAGATTAAAAAAGACAATTGGTAATCTGAGAAAATTCCAACCTCATACTTCTGTAGCTTACTATTTGGCTACAAGATTACCCATTTTTCTATAAGATCCTGCATTTAGTTCACTGCAGTATATAATTACTCCTATCCTTAAAAAGTATGCGTGAAAAACTATTTATGTTGTTTTTATAGTCTAAAATTATTCTACAACTTTTGAATGTACTGATACCTTTATTAAAAGAAATAAAACGTTACAGAAAAAAAATTAATGATAAAAAAAGCTAAGCTTCAACAAATTACACATTAATTCTAGATAAATTCAATAAACAAACAAAACACAAACCTAACAATATTTAATTTAAAATTTTGACAACTAACTATGACATCACTGAAAGACAAGCAATTATCTCTTTGCTTTGTTTAGAAAAGAAGTGGAAAATATGCCGGTACTACTCATTCTGAACTCTAATTTCCATATAAAACCACAATAACGACAACTCAAAAATTAAAATAAACTCACCAGTATCTCTGATTCCGGGAGATTCCAACATAGCGTCGGCTAGGTCCTCCTTTAATTGCAACTCCCCAATTCCGCCTCCTTCCTCGATAGTTCTATGGTAGTTATCTAACAAGGATTGTTCACAACTAGAAGCGGAACTTGATTCTATTAGCACCGCATTTGCTTTGGTTATCGGCATATTTATGGGTTTTGAATGGCCTAAGTCGATCGGTTGGGCTTCGCCTACTGACAGAGGAGATCTGCAAAAGGAAATTAATAAAAATTTCGCATATAAAAAATTAAAAAAGAATCACTTACCCAGCAACAGTTTTGTAAGTCTTAAATGTAAACTGAGGCCCCATCCAAAGTCTCCTATGAGGTCCAGCATGTGTAATTATCTCAACTTGTGATAACCAATGTTCATCATTATAAACAGGTTTTTCTTTTTTAAATGTAAATGGTGATGCTTCATATCCTATATAACTCAAATTCTCTTTGGTCATTGGGGGTACAAGATCTACAGTCCCATTCCTTCGTTGCAGCAACCATTGTGCTTTGCCTGTAAAAATTAAGATAATGGTTAACTTGGTAAAACAATTTTTAGGTAGTTCAAAATACTGCAGTTAAATATTTAGGTAGTTACAGCCATAATAATCTCTGAACCACCATTATAAACTCATTAGGTATATAATTACACTTACGTGTCACAGTCAGTTCGATGGGGGTATCACTAGACACACGTTCTTTAGGTATGTTTGACAGTTGATGAGGATCGAGATCATATTGGACTAGAGTTCCATGACAAGACATGATGAAAAGTGACTCAACAGGTTTTGGTTGTTTTGTTAGAGTAGCATCACGGTTAATGTCTAACAGTGCTCTTGGAGCTGCAAAATATGTAACTACACAGAGACACACATCTTCCGATGTTGAAGGAATTCTTTGTCGTCCTGAAAAATAACATGCAACATATTTATAACAAAATGTAATAAAACGTCACGTCTATAAAATCTTAAAAGGGAGTGAAATTTCTGAAGTGATAGAATGTCTTACAAGCTTAGCACAATCAGTAATACTTTAGTCAGCACTTCTGACACCACATTTATTTGAAATAAGTATACATTTAGTTCAGACTAACCATTTTTTTGCTATTAACGAAATTCTAGTAACTACTCTTAACGAAAATTTAAATATTCTGGAAAAAAATTTACAATATATACAATCCCAGAAAATGCTTACAAAGCGATTTTTTTATTGTTATTGATGCCTAGAAGCATATATTTCATTGCCAGCAAAAACGAAAACTCCATCGTTAAGCAATATTACTTTGAACTTCACGGATCACATGTTCGCTCCCACCACCGGGACACAATACATTTTGTTCGTCCCCTTCCTCTGTACCTAACTACAAAAGGCAAGCAAAAAAACGACGAGCCACTTTTTGCAGTCGAGATGAATTTCTATAAGATGTATGCCAATTCAAAGAAGGTCTCTTATTTTCAAGTATTCATCAAAAATATTGAAAGAAACAATTGTGGAACAAGTCAAGAAATCTTAAATTTTTAAACATAATTTATGGGTAAATTTTTTATTGAAATAAGGAAAATTAAACAAAATTAAATAAAATCAAAAGGATATGGTTAAAAAAATAACAGATAAACTATAATGAAGATACATAATGCTTGGCATTCTATATGAATGTCTTCACAGTTAAACAACCCTTTTAACCCCCATTTTAAATCAATAAGCTTCGTCCCATTGTAAAGCTAGATTTTTACTGAAAATTTCAAGTTGATATTGTCTTTAATTTTTGTTTTATGATTTTTTTAAAGTTTTAACTCCCCCTTGATCCCACCATTTTTAATCAGATTTTTTTCAAAATCAATAGGCTTCGTACCCTTATAAAGATTGATTTTTCCTGAAAATTTTAAGTTCATATCATTTTCGTGTTTGACTTGCGCGTCGGACAAAAAACGTGACATCGGACAAACGGACATTTTTAAAAGTTGTTTAAAATTTGATGAGGATTTTGGTACAAACATTTTTACTTTCCTATCTGTATACAGATATAAGGAAAGTATAGGAATCATGATTTTTTTCGGCCTCGAGTTTTCTACGGATTTTTACGTTTTGAGGTCCCCTGAATCCGTTTTGACTATGTCGTGTGCGTGCGTGCGTGTGTGTGTGTGTGTGTGTGTGTGTGTGTGTGTGTGTGTGTGTGTGTGCGTGTGCGCGTGTGTGTGTGTGTGTGTGTGTGTGTGTGTGTGTGTGTGTGTGTGTGTGTGTGTGTGTGTGTGTGTGTGTGTGTGTGTGTGCGTCCAATGCACTGATTAGAATTTGAGCAGAGTCGGAACATCTGGGGGTACTTTATAGGTGGTCTTTTTTATATTTTATGGAATATATCTGTTATTTACGTTTGGGGAAGACAATTCTTCAATTAAAAGCTCCTTCTTATATTATTATCTATAATTTTTGTTCTATACAAAATTTTCCTAAAATGGTCCGTATTCGAGAAATTTGACAAAATGTAAAAAAATATTTTTTTATCAAAATTGTTCAATTGTTCAAACGGATAAAAAACATTAAATTTTAAACTTAAGTTTTATTTCGGCCTGACGTGAAATGAATAGATTTTGGACAAAGTCGGAACATCTGGGGGGTACTTTATGAGGGGCCGTTTTTATATTTTATGGAATGTTATTTATGTTTGGAGAAAAAAATTGTTCAAATAAAAGTTACTTCTAATATTATTATCTATAATTTCTGCTTTATGTCAAAATTGCCTGAAATGGTCCGTATTCGAGAAATTTGACAAAATGTGCAAAATTCTGATTTTTATGAAAATTGTTAAACTAAAAGTTGTTTGCGATATCGATTTTTATAATTTTTGTTTTTATATGATTTTTCTAAAATGGACCGTAATGGAAAAATTGGAGGAAAAGTGCTAAATTAAATTTTTCAGTATTTTCGTTTTCAATAAATATCTATAGAAAAATGTTTCGAGTTAGATGTATGTGGAAAATGTATATATTTAGTTTATCCTCTTAACATTTATAAGGGTGCTACAATAGGTTGTACAAAATAACCGGAAAAAGCCTATAATAACAAGATAGGAAAGTCATGTGTTGGACACATCAGATTTTTAAATTTGGATGAATATTAAAAATTTTGGTTTCTTGAAAGTAAACATATATAATAATACTATTTAGTCTTTACAGACTACTGTGTATATTAATAATGTTTATTCAAGTGATCTGAAAAATTTTCAAGTAAAAATAGAAAACAATTTAATAAAGAAACGAGAGAAAATTGGGCAACAATTATGCACCGAGATGCAGATCATAATCAAACTATTTTCAAACTAAATCTAAGGCTACTGAGGTTTTGGTAGTAAAACCAAATAGCAAACAAGATAGTAGTAAAACAAAAAATTAAGAATTGGGCATTGCTGTAGATAATATTAAGTAAAATTAGGAGCTGACCCACTATTTGGGAGTTTAGTTTCAAAACCAAATCATTAGTTTACTTTCAAAAAATATTTGCAGTCCTTTTAGGGAAAAAAATGATAAAGATTTCTGTTATTTTAGATGCTACTCCAGATGTAAGTCAGACAGAGCAAATTGCATTTGCAATTAGGTATGTAGACTGTAACAAAGAACATGTAATACAACAGGAGAGATAATTTATAACCTTTTAGTCAACGATATTTTGCCTAAGTTTGACTTAGAAGTTCAAAACTATGAAAATGGATCCAATATGTCCGGCAAACATAGATATTCAACAGAGGGTGAAATATTTATGTAGTTTTATTTTTGTACTGCAACTTGGTTCATACTTAGATAAAATACACAGGTTTTTGTGTATGTTTTATTTTTCATAATATTTTTTATTAGGTATTAAGGTTTATACTTTGTCTTAACCAAGTTACTTGTTAAATATTATATTAGTGAGTTTTTAATAAAAAATATTTCATATCTTGATCACATTTGGTCATATTTAATAGTAATAATAATACAATAATAATAATAATAATGATTTCATAAAATATTTTAATCTAATAAATGTAGCTTTTTTAAAATATAGGAACGGCATTTTCAAGCCTGAACAAATGCAACAGAGGGGCCAAGAACGGCCCTGACCGACAGCTAAATACCTACAAGGTCCCTCCTGACAGACATTGGAACAGAAAACGATTTAAACAATTTAAAAATACTAACCTGTTGGTTGTCTTGCAGGAGGTGCAGTTCCTGTATTTTGAATCAGAACAGGCTGCCTAATCTGAGCCAAAGGATTTACTACAGTTGGATGAGGAAACGGTGGTAGCCTCGGATTATGGTATGGAAAATTTGAGATACTTGGAGCTTCAAACATTGATATGGGACTGTTGGATCTGCCATCTACAGATAAACCTTGAAAAAATCGTTTAGTATGGAAAACAAATCCAAAAAGAAATTTTAAATTAATCTGGACAAGCAATATATTAGTAAATATGTGATCTTTCTACATACAAAATGTATGTTTTAAAACAAGAGCTATGCCTTTCTAACAATCAAGTGTATTGTAAGCGCCCTTAAAAAAATATTTTTAAATTGTAAAATATATACCTTGTAATATATCGTTATAAAATATGTTAATGGGTAGTATCATTAATTTTTAATAAATATTATTAATTTACAATTAATTATAAATAATGTGAATTACCTGCAGACCTATGGAATCTTGACATCTTGTTGACAACATGAGAAGTTGCATGGGTTCTCATACCCACATTACCCCCATATGGTGTTACAGGAAACACATGAGTGGTTCCTCTTAAGGTAGAAATACTCGCCCATCTAGAATCAGGCGAAAAACACATATCTTGCACCTTTGCAGAAGTGTCACCCCTGTGTAAAATATACAAATGATGAACTGTGGCTAAAGTGGAACCCCCTGGATGGGGATGGATTCGGAAAAGGTGGAAATCATGGCCTCTTTTGTCAGCAGTAAGAAGTAACATGCCACTAGGGTCGAATTGAAGAGCTACTATGGCTTCTGTATGTGCGTTAAAATGAGCAATTACAGGATCTGCAGTCGGAGAAGGTCTATCTTGTGACTGGACATAAGGACTCTGAAAAAAAAAGGAATATTTTAGTTATTATTCTAGAAGCATCTACATTTTTTTACTTACACCAATATCTAAAATAGTGACTACTCCTTTGTGCGGTACATCTAATTGACCTCCAGCTTGAGGACTATTTGGGGAAGTACCAGGTTTGAAATTATTACTTCTGGTTAAACTATTTGCAACACTTTCCCCCAGCTCTCTCAAACCTCTGCCCAAAGATTTTGCTGCATGGATGACAGTAGCAGTGTAACTCTAAAATATTATAATACATAGTATCTGCCCGATTCGTAAAGGTTATGAGGGTGGACTCAGTTTCACTGCATGTAGGCCTCATTAAACCCAAGTCAAAAGTGATAATTTATATATTTAAAATTAAAAATAAATTATACCTGCACTCCATCTCCGTCCATTCCACCACTACTCCTTTTTGAAAGATTCATCTTTTTTTCTGCATAAGCCAGCCATTTTGAACCCAAAGTTACTGGATTTGGATTTAAACCAGGACTCAAATAACAAGTTGTCACAGTCATATGATCTTCTAAAGTAAAGGCATCAAACACAGCAATCTTTTCATGAATAAAAGTTACAACAACCGATTGCTTGTTTGCTAAGACATCTAACACAGAATTTTTGAATTTGATTACTTTTACCTAAAAATTTCAAATTTTTAATTGGTATGTCAAAATAGTAGGTACTAATAATTTTTCATTAACATAGTCATAATGTCTTCTATTTTTATATATCATTAAAAATATCTTCAAACAATTACCTGTTCTCCTGTTTTTAAAGACACAAAATTTAAAGAACTAAATTGGGGTCCAGAGGAAGAACTATCACAGATTGCAAGCAAAGGTCTTTTTGAAGCAAAAACATCCTTTTTAGTTATATTACCAACTAAATATGGCACTGGTAAAAATTTGAGAACTTTGACAAAACCATGCCTCCATGACAAAATTTCTGTGGCTTCTCCATTAGCTGGGATAGCCCACATCTAAAATATTTTTATTTAATAATTATTCATTTGAAGGCACATATTTACTTTAGGTATATAATTTGATTGAAATAATACAAACCTGTATGCCAGTGGTGTATCCCAAGACCAAAACAAGTGTAGCAGGAACTGTACTTGAAAAACTATTATTGCCTTGAGGAGAATTTTTGTCATTTTCAGGTTCTTCAAATCTGGCCCACAGTATCTGATCTTTGATATCATGTGAACCAGCATGAGAAGTTGGAACTACTTCATTTATAAAACCGGCCACACTATCTAGAATTGTTGGATCATTGACATGTCTTGGTAAAACCTTGGATGGCCCAAGAAAAGTCTCCAAACCAGAGTTTGTGGGTGAATCAGACATTTTAAATTCTAAACTTGACTATCTTCTAAAATAAATTTGACAGTCTGTAACGGATTATAACATAATATGTAGGGATATTTTAAAATGACCAATGTATATTTCAGCACCACAGAGGTAAAGTGTGTTTAGTCACATTTTTTTACAGAAAAGTGTTAAACTTATGGATTTACCATACCAAATTCTATCTAGTGTAAAACAGATAGGTATAACAATTGAATAAGTATTAAATTTTAATAGAAGTTGGTATGTTTTCTACTCATATTTATTTGATTTTGCTTACTGTTTAGTCAATCTAATACCTACAAATATTTTTATGAATTAAAAAGGCACATATTTTAATTTTTTGCCAAAGATCATAAAACAATTGTTTAATTACTTAATTAACTCTTGTTTTCATACAATTCAAAAATACTTATTTAAAAAAATAATTTGCTACTCAATGTTTTCCTGATCTCCCCTACTTGATTCATGAATATAAAATTGATCAACAGATTCATTTCAAGATATTGACTTCTGGAGGTTGCTAAAAATGTTTCTTTTTTCCAACAAAAAAACTTACAAAAAAAATTGTAGTAGCAATCGGTATTTTAAAAAGTAAATCAATAGGATGTACTTATCTGTTCTAAAATTTCATTTTTAAATTCAAATTTATAAAAATCCCTTATTTATAGATGTATACAATTTGTCAAATATAAGGTTTAGAAACATGATTCCATTTATTTGTAACAAACTTTTATAAAATTTCTAGAATCGCAATCAAAACAAAGTACCTACGCTATTCCTGTCATAACATACAGCTAAAAACAAAACAAAGCAAATGAGCAAACAAAGGGGTGTGGATAAAACTGATAAAACGCGTATAATAAAAAGAACTATCCTAAAAATAACGAAATCTATATAAATTATTAAAATTATTGAATTATGTTTACATATAATGAAACGAAAATATTTCCTTTACCTTGAAATTCCTAACTAAAAATCACTTTATTACAAAACTGCGTCATTTCTCATTTCACTTAAGATTCACTATCCGTGAGTATAAAACTATTTAGAGGAAAAACAGTTAGTGTAAAGGAAAAAAAACATCGCTTGATTAATTAATCTAACTGATTAGCTAAAAAACAAATTGTTTTTTAGCTATTTAATGGCTCAAAAATATTTAAAATGGTACAACCTTCACAAATTTATGACATTAAAACGGACAACAGACACAAATCAGCTGGTTAGAAAACAAAACACTCCCACCCTTGAGAAGAAAATCCTTGGAAAAAGTGGGGGAACTTTATAATTCGCAATGCTGCCAGTTCATAGCAAAATAACTGGAATTATCTGAAAAGTGAACATTCAAATTGTCTTTGAAACTAAAGTGCTAAAGGCTTCCTCCATGACTAAAGGCAGGTAGTTTTCAGACAACTTGAGCATGAATCACGAACTTACAGAATAATAATCCTTCCTCCATGTTACAGAACACGCTCAGTACTCAGTCAAGGGCATGTAGAAACTTGCATAAGGTATGTATTAAGTATATAGAAGAAAATTAGAAAATAAAGCGACATATCGGTCATCGTCCCCATTTTGGCATTCTCCATTATTTTTAAGGTGCGTTTTAATCATCCGCTTCTGCTTAGGAATTCTCGGTTTTCTTGTTTTAATCTGACAGGTTAAAACGACTAAACCGACAATTCGGAAGCAGAAGCGGATGATTAAAACGCACCTTATAAGAGTCCCCACTGTACCCAAGTATTGTGAGGAGGATTGTAATTTACTTTCTTAATTTAACTCTATCCACACTCTATCAACAAAGGCACAAAGGTGACAAAATTTTTACTATTTTAGTTATCGTTATCCGCCATAATCAGAGCAACAGCTACATTGTATTTGTTTTGCTTTGTTTGTATGTATGTATATTCGATTCGCTACTTGGAGGCTACCGTTGCAGATCCCCCACTTAATGCACAAAGAGAGAAATACCAGAGAGAAATACTTACATACATCCAGTGATGTCATTTGTACCTATTTTTCGGTAGATCTACCAATTTGGCAGTTCATCTCCCAGACAGCACACCAAATCCTTTGGATATCTGCTGAACATCCCTATATCCACTGAATGTCCAGTCCATGGTAGATATCTATTTTATATCCATGAAATGTAATTTATATGCTGCGTTTGAGAATCCACATCGGATGCATCTGAGATGTAAAAAATCTTTGATCACGTGGTTCAGTATACGTAAATGTAATGGGACAGATGTGTCCGATGTGGATAAAAAAACGCTCGAGATGTAAAAAATGCATCCGATGTGGATTCTCAAACGCAGCAATGGACATGCAAATGTCCATAAATAATAGTAATTATATAGCAAATTATTAAAAAATTACGCCATTGTGGCTAATAGTACCGTTCAGATATTTAAAATTATTTTTTTTTAAGGTTTATTCAATATCCTATGAACATCCACTAAATATATCAAAGTCTAGGCGCGAACGCAAACCATCGTGCATATCCACTAGATGTTATTTGATTCTGCTTACTAAGTATAGATGGTGATACCACTATCGCATCTACTCATGCTCGACTCGCCGTAATTGAGTTGGATCGAAATTTGTGTTCTAATCACTCCATTAGAGACTGGAGTCGAGAATTTTCATTTGTTGCTGAAGAGTCCTAATAAGGATGACTTTCTCCTTAGTGGGTAAAATCAAAGGCAGAGTGTTGAAAATATTTTGAGTGTTGAAAATATTTTTTATCTCTGCTATTTTCTTTCGACGTTATTCAATAATCATTGCGGTGACTTATGAACCTCTACTAAAGATACCCATAAAATATTTTGCTGAATATCCGAATATCTTCTATATCCTGGGATATAGACGGACATTTGGTTGGATATCCATATTGGATATATTGAATATCCACAAAATATATTCTGTGGATATCTCTGGGATTTCTTGTATTTTCTGGAAGATACCCATTAGATATTTTGCTGAATATCCATTAGGATATCTTCTATATTCTGGATATAGACGGACATTTGGATATCCATATTAGATCCACGGAATATTTCTGATATCCTGTGGATATATTGGATATCCACAAAAGATATTCTGTGGATATCTCTGGGATTTGGTGTGCTGTCTGGGCTACCGCTACGGAAAATACCTTATTTTCTACTTATTTTCATTCTTTAGTACAGGCCTGCACAACTTAGATTTTCAAAGGGCCAGTTCAAAAAGCGTAAATGTACGAGGGCCAAGAGATATACCTGAGCTTATAAATTTATAAAGCAGGTGGTCGAGGTGGTTTGTCCAGATTCTAAAAAAAGGTCCTCATCTTATAATTCTATAAACCAAATCCTGCTGTCCAGGTCCATCTATCGAGCTCCTAAAAAAGGCAATCAATGCCTACATTCAATTTTGTTACTGAAAAAATGTATAGTTTGACAGTATGCGGGCCAAACTGGTCAATGGAGAACGGGCCATGAAAACGACAATGACAAGCCGCATGCGGCCCGCGGGCCATATGTTGTGCAGGCCTGCTACAAGTATGTTTTAGTATAAGTTTAGCACAATTTCTGGCTTTCCCCATACAAAACAGTATTTAGGATCAAACACGTGTTATAACTTCGAAATAATTCGGCAAAATTTCTAAAACATTAATGAGCATAATTTAAAATCTTTGCAGCCACAGTAAATGCATATTTTTAATGCTAAATACTATTTTATTAGCTTTTAATGTATTTATTTTTTTTTTACTTTATTTATTAGTTTTTTCTCTGTTTTCTTTATTTTAAAGTATATTCTTATGACGATTTAATTTAAAATACGTGACATAAATAATATGCCGATTTGATGAATTTTAGCGATAAAACGGAACATAGTATGTTTAAAGCAAAGCTTCATAGGCCGCGTTTCGATATTTGACGAGTAGACAGTGGTCCGATATTTGGCGAGAATGGAGAATTAAATTTCAAGGACATGTAACGTGTAACGCATGTAACCATGGTAACGTCACGAAATTAAAAGAACATTGACCTTGATAGTTTATATACGATTTTTCTGTTTAAAAGATACAAGGCGGAGAAGAGAAGAGTGGAGAGTTGAGAACGGAGAGGATAGGCAAGCGGAAAGGAGTGGAGAGCGGAGCGGGGCAGAGTGAATTGAAGTGGAAAGCGGAGCGGAGGAGAGAGTGAATTGAAGTGGAGACGGAGCGGAGGGGAGCAAATGGAGTAGAGAGGTATTCGGTAGAGTTGTGTAGAGTGGATGGGTGAAGTTGAAGTAGAGTAGGATAAAGTGGAGATAGAGTGGGTGGGGTAGACTGGGCTAGAGTGAAGTAGGGTGGGATAGAGTGAAGTAGGGTGAGGTAGAGTGAGGGTAGAGTGAGTTAGAGTGGGGGTAAAGTGGGGGGGTAGAATGGGAGGTAGAGTGGATTAAAGTGGGGGTAGAGTGTAGTAAAGGGGGGTAGAGAGTGGGGAAGAGTGGAGTAGAGTTTAGTAGAGCGGGGTAGAGTGGGGGTAGAGTAGAGATAGAGTGTGGTGTAGCGTGAGGGGTAGAGTGAAGGTAAAGTAGAGTAGAGTGGGGGTAGAGTGCGGATAGAGTGTGTTAGAGTGAGGTAGAGTAGGGTGGGGGGTCTAGTTGGGGTAGTAGAGATAGAGTAGGGTAGAGTGGGGGGTAGAGAGGGGGTTAGCGTAAGGTAGACAGGGGGTAGAGTGGAGTGGTGTGAGGTAGAGTGAGGTAGATTTGGGTAGAGAGGGGTAGAGTGAGGGAATAGTAGGGATAGATTGGGGGTAAAGTGGTGGTAGAGTGGGGGGTAGATTGGGCAGTAGGGGTAGAGTGAGTGGGTAGATTAGGTAGTGGGGTAGGGGTAGATTGGGTAGTGGGGTAGATTGGGGGGTAGAGTGAGATAGAGTGAGGTTGAGTGGGATAGAGTGGAGTGGTGAGAGAGATAGATAGAGAGGGAGGAGAGGCAAAATGATTTAAAAATTATATAGATTGCTCAAAGCGGGTCGCATTTTCGCAGGTACTGATGGTGGGCATCACAGTAGAGAATCCACATCGGATGCATCTGAGATGTAGTAAATATTTGATCACGTGATTCAGTATACGTAAATGTAATGGGTCAGATGTGGATAAAAAAAACGCTCGAGATGTAAAAAATGCATCCGATGTGGATTCTCAAACGCGGCACAAGTATCTACCGAAAACAAAATTTTGGTAGTGGCAACACTGCATACATCAAGTTGGTCAGAGTGTTTTGTTTTATGATCTTCCAATCTTCCATTTGTATTTGTACATTTTATGATTTTATGCGCCAAAAGCCAAAAGGTTGCTTCATGGGATTATAACTGGTAACTGGTTTTGATTGTTATGAAAAATAAAATAAAAAAATGCCTCGTAAATCTCAGACTTCATCACAAAGTCAGCGACTAACACAAACCCAAAGTCAACGAGTTTCACAAGAATATGAGGCACATGTAAATATACAAGATCAAGTGAATGATTTGGTTCGTTATTTTGTAAATAGAGCAGGAGAGCATGTATCGTTTAAAAGAGCAGAATTAAAGAAAAATGTACTGCCTAAATGTGGACAAAACTTTCAAGATATCCTCAACCAAGCTGTCACAGTTTTGCAACAGGTAAATAAACATTTACTATTTTGAATATAGTTTAGTTATCTACCTACTTTATTTTTTAAGGTTTATGGATACAAAGTAATTGTGGTAGATCCCAAACAAAATTCTACAAAATCTTATATTATAAGTAATGCATTACCATACATTCCGGATCCTACAGAAACACTCATACATGATGAGTATCCTGAAGATGTAAATAAAATTCTTACCTTGTTAATTTTATCTCATATCTACATGAGTGATAATGCAGTTAGTGACCGTAAGTAGATATTCAAGACTCAATATACCTAATTATTAAAAATTGGATAGGTACAAGCAACTTTTATGATTAAATTGAATATTTTATTATTTAAAATAAGCAACCATGGAAACCAAAATTCATGTAGTTTAAGTGGTCATAGTAGGCTGCTGTCATAGGTAAAATCATGGTGGAAGAATACAGGTGAAGCGGTAAGCGGTACGAAATTTGGTCATTCTTGCGCATGACGTCACCTGCGGAGCATATTTTTGTTTTGCCTATGTCTCCAATGTTAAAAAGCGACTTTTAAAGTTATTCTAATATTTTCCTGGTAGTGTTTAGAAGTTTATAGATATATTTATCTTAATATTTAATATCATTTCTATATATCAATAGGCCTGTTTAGAAATTATTGGTACGTATTATTAAATTAATTTCTAATTAAGTTGGTAGTGTAATTGATATAAAGTTAGGTTATGTAACATTTTTGTTGTATTTTAAAGATAAAAGAAATAGTTTATATTCATTATTGTTATTTTAATATATCATTATTATTATTATTATATTATTGATACATTAAAATCTACTATATTTTAGGGTGTGTAGTTACTAACAAAATGCCAGGTTGTGCAGTGTTTGGCAGCAAGAACTATTTAAGAAAAACAAAGAGAACAAATATTAAGTATTTTGGATTTCCGAAAACAGATATAGCCAAAGCCTGGGTCAACGGTTGAGGGTGAAAAGATACAATTAATTTGAAAAATGGTATGATTTTTGCAAACCTAACTTGAATATGATTAATTTTATGTCTTGTTTCTTTTTTAAGCTTGTATTTGTTCCATACATTTTTCGAAGGATAGTTTTGAAATACCCTTACAACAGAGGCTATTAAACTACTCCACTAAGACTGGTAGAAACTTAAACCAAACAGCAGTTCCTACTGAAAATCTCCCATTGAAAAAAAGACAATTGTCTGCAGAAAGTGAAGATAGATTAAGAAGGCAGGCAAAAAGATATCGACAAACATTTATTGAGAGCTTTGTTAATATTTCGGGGCATTCCAGACAATTGTCAACTGCAGACCAGGACAAGGAGAATCAAAGTTTGGAAACAGACACTCAAAATATATTGGTATCATCAGAACTAGAAACGTATGTACAAATTTACCTTATTAACAAAAAATGTGGCTTTGAAAAGAAAATTACACAACTTAGCATATACTAATTAACATTACAATCATTTCAAAACAATTTTTTTATTAAATATTAAACTTTGAAGTGATAATTGCTTTTATTTCAATATTAAAAATTAAATTATTATTTTAGAGAAAACTATTAAGAGTCTTCGTGAAGAACTAAACAAAATTACTGAAAAATGCAACAAATCAAATATAGAAATACTTTCATTGAAAGAAGAAATTAGCCAGTTGAAAAATAATTCTCAAGTGGAAATTCAGGAAAGTAAAGTAAATGTTTCACTCCGGGTCAAATAAATGTTTTATACAAAGAAAATAAAAAAAGAATTCGTTGAAGTTCGGATGACATAGCATCCACAATCTCCCTAAGAAGCATTCGTCCTAAGGCTTATAGATTTTAAGAACTGTTCATTATCCTTTACCTGGGTTTACTACCTTAAGAGACTGGCCTAAATGTTTAAATTTAGAACAATAAATATACATTATAAAGTGTTAAGTAAGATAAAGAAGTAAACATGTAAAAACCATTTTTAAACATAAATAAATCAATTTAAAATAACACCTCTGTGCTTTTTATTAAAATAAAGTATGTTTTGCCAAGTGTTTCTATTTATTAAATACATAAAGGGGTTTACCAGCACCCAACCATACAAGAAAGTAATTGATCTGTGCATACAAGTTATTGATATCCATGTTTGATGACTAATTTAAAATTAAATTATTACATTTATAATCTATAAAAGTGACCACATACTTCCAAACTGATTATTTAAGAAAATTGGCGACTAAAAAAATATACTGATCATAATAAAATTCATTTCACCTTAATTTTATTGTTCAGCATTTGTTAACATTATACACAAGTTTACTTGAATAGATTCAAAATTATTTATTGTTGAAGAATTAATTACATTCTTATTAACAAAGATAGATAACATAAGTTAAAATTCAAAGGAAAAGAAACAAACAAAATACTTATTCATAAATGAAATTTTTTATTTTAAAATTCTAATATCAAGACAAAATATAATATAAAAACAAAAATGCACAACCTAAGTACAAATATGACAATCGAGAAATATATATACAGGAGTATACACATAAATTAAAATGAACTACTTAATTCAAGGAATCAGAAAAATTTATCCACTTTGTAGTATACCTTTTTGAGCAAGAGTTTCTTGCTTTTTAAACATATTTAATGAGTCAGCACTTCCTATTATTAATTAATTGGCAAGAGGTTAAACATTTTTCCACTATACAGGGGACACTACATATTTCAGTTTCACATTTAAATTAGTTATTTGTGTATGCCTTTTATTAGTTCCAATTTTTATCCCTGCTGAGCCACTAAAACTTTTTAATGGTAATGTCTCTGTAAGTTTAGGTACGTTTTGGCTATCATCTTGATCTCAATCTATCAGATAGCAATGCTAGGTATGAAGATTTAAATCCTAGATGTAACATCCTCTTCCAAGTTTTGTGATGGAAAAATTCAGTTTCTGATGAACACTATCTTTTTTACGCCAGAGAGAAACTATATTAGGCTAAATTCCTTACACCATGGCTAAATTCGAAATAAATTACCTACGTATAAAAGCACAAAATATTTTTTTTATTTGGCATTACTTTTGTACAAGCGTCTATCTGCCTATAGTGACTTTTCTTGTAAGTATTATTGAGCATAACTTAATGTTATTTGACGCAGTTGTTATTTTCTTCTAAATATATTTTCAGTTTTATAATGATTATAGAACTAGGAAATAAAAGTTAAACTTCTTGACAATCATTACAAAATGTAAACAAAGCCATGGAATGGCATGGCAGTGTATAGGCGGCCGTGGCAATACCGATGTTGACGTCATAAAACCTGCGCACCGCTTCACCTGTATCCTTACACCATGGGTAAAATGGAATCTTTTGCAAATGTCAAATGAGTTATTATGAATAATTTATTTCAATAATACCCTTTATTAATGTGACAAAAGTAGAATAACTTTTAAGAAATTCTTTTTTTATTTTATTTAACAACTCAAAAATCACAAATGTAGTTGAAGGGTTAAAACAACAAAAACAGTTTTTTAATAATAGTTAATATGAGGTGACCAAACATCCTCCTTTAGGGAGGGCAGTCCATTTTTGTAGTTTCTGTCCTTCCTCGAAAAGTAACTTTCCTACCTGTCCTCCTTTTCGATATTTTTAAACTAATCTGTCAATATGTTGATGCTCTAACTGCAGCACTTACCATAAAATTCAATATGACAGATATTTCTTGCTCTGAAATTTCTAATATATTGTTAGAAAATAATATTAAATGGAAAAATACTTGTTTAATTAAATGGGATGTAAGCATAGTTAGCATATTTTTGTTTGAATTAATGTTTCATTTATTTACTTTGTACTTTTTTTAAAAAAATAAAAAAATTTCGTCCTCCTTTTCATTATAAAAAAATTAGTCACCTCAATTAATTGGATATCCATTATTAGCTAGGTATAACTTTTTGGCAACGATGTGGCATTGATGAAATTAAATTTTGGATAGTAAGAGCCGGCACATTCAAAATATAAATTCTTTATTGTTGTCATGGACATCACAACATATATATTTATGACAATTTACATTTAATATACTTTGCAATGTATAACACAAGTCAAGAAAAAAAGCATATTTTATGTAGTACCAATCTGATGAGAACCATATTGCATGTCTAGGATGTCTTACTGATGCAAACGAAGCATTCGCTATGACTGCAGGGAAACCTAGCAAGACCCACAGTACCGTTATTAGACTGATACTACTAGTACAACAAAATATGTATTTCACTAATTAAAATAAAACCTTTATAACATTGGTGGTATTTATGTCTTCTAGAGAGTATGGTTCCATAGCTATGAGAGCCTTTTTTAATTAAACTTTTATAACTTATACATATTTTTTACAGTAGTTGGTAGCATATTAAAAAATTTTAAACACATATAGAATCCACACTCTTTTCAAATAGTGTTATGTATGGGATATGAAAATATTCCTCTATTTGTATTTATTTTTAAAAACAAAGATAAAGCATATGCACCAAAAACCAACAAAATATTTAAATTTTTGAATTGACCTCTACATGAAGTTCTTAACGCCAAATCGTTAAGAATCATGACAGCCCTTTTCTGAAGGATAAAGACTTGCTTGGCTATGTGATCCACCTCAAAATAAGATGCCGTAGCACATTATTGAATTTTTGAATAAAAATATCCAAAATAAGCTGTTCTTACACTATTGAAGTTCCTGTGTTTCTTTAACTGTTTCAATGCAAAAACATGCTGAGCTGAGCTTACCACAGTACATTTATATGGTCAGACCATCCAATATTCTCATCTATGAATACCCCCAAAAACTTAGCAGACATACTCAATGTCTTGATTGTTTAAACATATTTCAGATGGATAGTCTTGTTTGTTTCGACTGTGTTTAAATAAGATGCAATTTGTCTTAGACTTATTTAGAATTAATAAATTTTCTGTAAACCAATTTATTAATGATACAAAAATATTTGATGTATCTGTCTGAAGTGTCCTATAATCCTTTCTTGCTATTAGAATATTAGTATCATCTGCGTAATTTGTTAATGTTACAGAAACATTGTCTAAAACATTTGCTAAGTCATTTATGTACAGAATAGATAGGATGGGACTAAGTACAAACTCCCCTGTGGGACGCTAAAAGTAACTTCATTAGAACGAGAATAATATTGCTTACCATCAACTTTCAAACAAACTTTTTGAGATCTTTTAGACAGATAAGATTTAAACCAGTCATAAGCATAACCACGAA